TTACCTCTTAAATTAAAATTTAAGAGCCTAATATAAATTTAAAATGGAGAACTGTTTTAAAACCTAAATTGTAACTTTAAAGGTAAAAGTTATCTTGTGTTTCAATCGAAGCATAATTTTAATTTGTTTTAAAGTAACAAAACATCACCTTGGTAACATGCTGTACCCCTTCCGCTTGCTGATAAGGATCAGGTGCTACAGGCTACCTAACCTTATCAAATACTGAAGCACTTCAGTTTTAAAAGTGAAGGAATGTCACTTGAGCGTGGAGAGTAGAATCCACGCGGCACATCCAGTTTGTTAATTTCAAGAGTCTGGGCTGGATTAAAATAGAAGCAAAGGAGAAGATGGGGAATCCAGAATGGTTTTCAGCCAGGGAGGATGTTGTTCCTGCTGAATTGCTGATTTTGCAGACAGAAATTTTATTCTGGATTTTTTTCCTCCAGCTTTGTAAATGAGCTTCCTATTTGAAGGGGAATTTTCTTCGTGTTAGAAACCAGTATCCTCTCTCCCTTTTTTGTTCACTCTGCTCTTCCTTTTGTGATTTTTAATATTTTGTTTAATCCCAAAGCTTCAATCAACAGCTTCTCCTGGAATGCCTAGCAGCAATAACAGAACTCCAATTTCATTCCAGATTTTAAAGTTGTATTTACCTTCTCCTACTTAACTTAGGGAAAGAGAACTCACATTTTCTGAGGACCTATTAAATGCAACCCTGCCAAGTCCTTCATTTGTACTGGTGGCAGAAGCGGGTGGGAAAGCAGAGTTGAGGTCTAAACCCATGACTATCAAAGTCCGAGCTTTTGGCTGTCCTCCTCTGGCTAAGCAAGATTTGAAACTGTGGAACATATTTTACAGCAGCACTCAGAATGTAGGTGGCACACATTCTTATATAATTTGTTTTATAACTATCTCAGCAATGAAGTCAGCTGGGCATTTAAAAAAAAAACTTGGCAGTTCTGAACTTGAGTGTATATTTTCATGGTAAAGTGACCTTTTGGGCCCAGATAGTGTTTTTCTAGAAGGATTCTGCCAGCTGTGCCATTGTTTTAACTGGTAGATTTGGGGAACTCGGTGCCCCTTCATTTCTGTGGTCTAAAGCTATTTCTGCCCCCTGTCTCCCTACAGTTATACAGTTAATGTGATGGTATTATCACTTTTGTCTTTAGTAATGTTATATTTAGTATGTCTGGTCTCTACTGCCACACTGTAAATATTCTTAGGGCTAGCAATAATGTATATCAGTGAATAACAAAAAGAAGATATTTTAGCTCCCTTAGTGCTTTGGATAGTATTTTTGAATGAAAAAATAAATAAGAGGAGAGGTTCTAAAAGAGAAAAATGAAGCAGTCAAATTAAAGACTGGCTGTTTTATATCACTGAATTTAATTATAACCCTTTTCAAGATGGAGTAGGCTATAGAAATCATCTAATAACAAATCCTCACCAGATAGATTAGCAAATGGAGACCTAAATCAGTTAAGGTCTCACAGTTACTTAGTGGCTTTATGTGGGTAGTTTTGCTGTGAAAATGATTAAAATCAGTTATGGGCTTCATGCACCATGGCTACAAACAAGTCTGGTCTCAGCATTGGTAGGACCGGTGAAAATATACTTGGAGCTACTCTGCAGTTCTAATTCTCAATTTCTAACCTTTGTGATTGCCAAAAGAGTATGGTTCTAGAGAAAGTTTTTCTTTATCTTGGAACATACTGGATTTTTATAACAGTTGAAAGCAATTCAGTTTCTAGGGCTACCTGGCAAAATTCTAGATCACTGTGAGAAAGCACTAAGTGAAAAGACTCTGGCCTCCTGTATTCAAATTTCAGCTCCTCAGCTTGCTAACCTTGTGTCCTTGGCAAGTTACTAAACTTGGCTGTGGCTCTGTTTTCTCATTTGTAATTTTACCTCAGTTGGTAATATACCTCACAGTTATGCCATATAACTATCAAGAGAAATGAATTCGTTCATTGATGTTTAGGGGTTTTTGGAACCTTGGAAATGCTCCATAAATTTTACCTGTTAAGATGATCATAGAATACCAAATAGCTTGAGCCACTCTTATTCAATCAGGATTATACCTTTATTGGCAAGGGGAATGTTTGAAATTCTTCCTGAGATTTCATAATAAAGACTGTTTTGAAGGTAATATTTCAGTGGGATTGGGGAGGTTTGGATATGTAAATATTGGATATGAGTCCTTTCCAGATAGGAAGAAATGGCGAGCTACTAAAGTATTCTGGTGGGAAGATATGAGGTTTGTCCATTGTAACTGCAGTGTTACATTCTCCCTGGGGAGAAATGGATGCCTAGTCTAGTGGATATTTAGGTTCAGCCGACTGAAGGCCTGCCTGAGATAGCAGGCCCAGGAGCTTGGGTTGGGAGCCTGTGAATACCAAATTCCCTTTGGCAGCAAGACAGAGAGAGGAAGGGTTAGGGAGGGGTGGGACTGAGGCAAGGAGCCCAGCCTGGGAATCTGTTGAGTTATTAGGCATAAAGAAGAAGGGGATGCAGAATTGATAAGACTTTGGAATTGATGGGGGGTGTATGGTCTTACACATTGGTAAATCCCATTAACAGAAAGAGGCAGCTGTAGAGGAGGGTGAGTTTGGGATGGAAGGCTGTGATTCAGTTTTGTGAACATTGGCTTATGGTACAGTTAAGAAAACCCAAGAGAACCCTCCCCCCGTAGAAAAGGCAAGTAATTCAATATCTGAGGTAAAATTTGGGAAATCATTTCCATGTGTGATAGTGTTGATTATATGAGAATATATGCAATTACTTGGAACTGGGCCTGTAGATTCAAATGAGACCCCCACATTCCATAGTGACATTTAGGGCAAAAGCCATAAAGTGCTGGGTGTAGGAATTCAGTTCTGCTGGTGTATGAGTCACAGGTGACTCAGAGAGCCCCACCCCCTTCCCTCAGTGCTTCCAGATGCCAGCCTGCTCGAGCCACAGAGGAGGAACTCCTGTTTCCTTTTGCCCACCACACACTGAAGGGCAGCCATTCTTCTTTAATCCTAGGCAGAGAATTAGGCTTCAACTTTGAAACTGAAGAACAGCATTATAAAATCTACATATTTTATATCACAAATTTAGAAGACAGACACTAAAGACGCAACTTTAAATTTCAAAAATTCTAAGAGCAAATGTTTTATAACCCTTCATTTTTGTATGTGGTTTTCAGTGGGTATAAATATACTCTGTGGGTGTGTGGGTGACTTCTTATGTTTTGGAAAATGGTGAGAATATGAGATGCTGAGTTTGGATTCTGGGATGAAAGCTATAATTACAAATTCCGATTCTTTCCTAGGGTTGGCTCATGGTGGATGTCTGGTATCTAGAAACCCAAGAAGCCAGAATCCGCAGCAATAACCACTCCCCTCAGGAATGAAAAGAATCACTGTGATGGAGAAGAGAGGGAGTGTGGAGTGGTGGCTTTTCTTGCCTGGTCTCCTCTCATGCCCAACAGAGGCTGTTCAGGGCTTTGGGGCAGCAGAAGTGGTAGCTGGTGCGATGATTTCCCTGAGCCTGGTGCTCTCAGCAGTCGTGCAGCTGTGATGGAAACAGTTCTAATTATAACTTGGGACTCATTTCAGATCCTCCCCCACATCTTGGTGGATGTGGTAAACACCCTAAAAATACCTGCTGCCTGAACCTTTGAGGTACCTGAAGAAGAAGGGGCAGGTACGAGTGTTGGGCTGGACAAAGAGCCCAGTGTTGTTGGGCGGCTTGTCCGCCTGTGTGATGGGCTGTGAGCGTGCCGCCTGCTCTTGAGTCTCTCATCACTGCTGGCAGGTTTCAAGGGAACTATTCATAGACTAGACATCTGTTCTCTGTCTCCTTGAACTCAGATCCACAGCTGCCACTATGGCACTCAGGCAATTTGGTGGGTTCTAGTTGTATTTCACGGAATCAGAATTTTGTAGCAGGTATGGACTATTAAAAAGCCATTGAAGTCACTACACTGATGGAGCCATGTTTCTGTACCTATATAGTAACCACAGGAAATTGAAAATAGAATCTCAATGTTTGAGTATTAAAAGAAATCACTCTTATAGTTATATAATATAAAAATAGAGGGATAATGAAAACTAGTCTTTAAAAATTATTGTCTAAATGATCCCTTACAAAGTTGTTTGCTTTTCCATTTAAAAATTGGCACTGTGAGGCTCTCTCAGCTTCGGTATTTTGAGTAGAAGTTCATTGGTGATGTAGCCAGAACACTGGGAGTCTTATCTTCAGGGAGAAGGTTTTCAATATCTCCTTTCTGGAATTGTGAACCATAGCCAGGATATTGTGATCTAAGGGCTATGGGTAAGCTCTGTTTGCCAGGAAAGAAGGCATTCACAGATGACCTTTAATGCCCATGAGATGCACTCAAAGTGTGGAAGCAGTCAACACTATCTTAACTGAACAGTGAAGTCGCCCAACTTTCTCAACATGTGCTACTTACCTTCCCCAGTCTCTTTGAGCGTATTTTGAGAGGTCCTGTGGGTGTACAGCCTGTGTGAGGAGGACAGGAATAAACCAGTTGGGTGCTGAAAAGATTTAAATATGTTCTATTATGGTTGTTACAACATTGCCTTAGTTGGAACCCGTGTGTATTCTTCTCTGAGCTTCTCAAACAAAGCTCTTTTTGCATTTTCAAGAGTATTTAACTATGAGTTAAAAATAAATCAAAAGTTTTGAATGAATGATAGAAACCATCAAAGTGTTTGGAGTTTTTGTCACTTTACTGCATATCTGAAATAGCCACTTTTAGAAACTCTTGTTTGCTGGAATCAGTACACTTAAAATAGGAAGCGATGTCCCTGGAAAGTGGTCTACGACTGGCTTTGTAGAGAGATGTGGATTGGAGTTGCCAACATCCTCAGTTGAGAGGAAGCTTAGAAACATTCAGGCACCAAGGGATCTCTTTCCATGCATGACAGAGAGGACAGGAAGAAGGTAGCACTGTTCATGGCCTCTCAGACATTTCTCCTCTGCAATTCTAGAATGAAGAGCTTCGAAACTTGTCCCTTTCTGGCCATGTTGGATTTGACAGTCTGCCTGACCAGCTGGTCAACAAGTCTACATCACAAGGATTCTGTTTCAACATCCTATGTGTCGGTAAGTGACTCATCACCCACTGCCCTGAGAGGCCTCTGACCCTCAGGTGTTGCGAGTATGTAACAGAGCAGCGAGCTTCCGGGAAAATGATATTTTCACTCCTTATTACTTTAGAAAAGCCAGGCAATAATACTTGATGTTCTTATGTCACACTGTTGTAAAAATTGAGAGATGCATTTGGGTACATGTACATTTTGTGATATTGTTCAAATTATTTTTATTTCTATCACATGGTCAAGCAACTGGGCAGTTTAATATTGTTATTAAAACATTTATTTAAATTTTTGGCAGGGAGAGGGACTTGTACTCTAAGTAGATACAGGAAGTTGAAAGAAGGAACTTGAGATATATATAGGAAAAACATTCAAAAGCCTTTTAAGAATCTGTATCTAGGGTTTCTGACTATGGTACCATAGTCATCTCTACTGGAGTCTTTTCAAAGATACATTACCTATAGTAAGCAAAATCCAATACTACTGTAACCTTTTGCCTGCCTTCCTGACTGCCACCTCCCTCCCTCCCTCTCTTCCTCCTTCCGTCCGTCCCTCCCTCCCTGTGGTACTAGGGATCAAAACCAGGAACACTCTACCATGAGCTGCATCTCCAGCCCTTTTAATTTTTTATTTTAAGGGCCGGATATTTAGCTCACTGGCACCATGCCTGCCTGGCAAGTTCAATCTTTGCTACTGGAAAAAAAAAATGTTTTTTAAATTTTGAGACCAGGCAGATTTCAAACTTGGCTCCTCCTGCCTCAGCCTCCCAAGTAGCTGGAATTATAGATGTGTGCCACTGTGTCCAGCTCTCTTAACTAATAAATTTACAATATTTAAAACTTAGTCACTCTTAGGACAGAAGTCAATCTAAAATTTTATTTTATATCTGAAATAAATTTTCTGCCTCAGGTATCAAATTAGCTTTCTTTCCTTAAATTGGGGTCTAAAATGGATCTTAGTTTGTTCCTGTTAGACAATGGAAAAGTCCAAAGAGATATGACTTCTGTCCTTAGTATCTTTTATTCTCATGCCTTATATTTTATACTTTAGCTTAGGCCTCTGGCCTTAGGATTTTTCCTTTCTTTCTAACTGTATCCTTTTTAAACTAAGAAGAAGATTTAAAAGAAGTAGAAAAAGAAGAAAATCAAAATCTAATCGTCTGTTAGTCTGGAGCAGAAAAGTCCCTGGAGCAGATAATATCTGTTGCTTCACCTGCCACACTTGATAATGACCAGGCAAAACAACAGTGAAGTCGTTTGGGTTGTGTTGTTTTGTCACTGTAGTTTTTTGCATAACCTTTGAGACAGGCCAGAGCAATTCTGGATGTGGCCAGGTGGACCATCCTCTCTCTAAACTTGGAAGAATGTGTGCCAGGTGTGGTAGTGCAGGTGTGTAATCCCAGGCTCAGCAGGCTGCGGCAGGAGGAGCACTGAATTCAAGGCAAGCCTAGGCTACATAGTGAGTTGAAGGCCAGCCTGAACTGCATAGCAAGATCCTGACTCAGGGAAAATCAAAAACAAAAAATGAAAACCCAAAAAACAAACAAACTTGTAAGAATGTATTAGACTCCTCATGCAAGTAAAATGAATTGAGTTTAGAAAGCGTGTGTACTCAGTGTGAGAAGCACCATAGCCTACTTGTTAGTAGTGGAATTTTGGGGAAGCAGATGTTTTCTTTTTTAAAATAACTTTTGATTCCTGCTTTTTGGTAGTGCTGGGGATTGAACCCAGGGTCTTGCCCATGTTAAGTAAGCACTCTACCATTGAGCTTGTCCTCAGTCCTTTTTAAAACTTTTATTTTGAGATGGGCTCACTAAGTTGCCCTTACTGGCCTTGAACTTTGGATTCCTTTGTCTCAGCCTCCTGAGTATCTGAGATTACAGATGTGCACCACCACCAAAGCTTCTTAAGGAATTTGTTGCATATAGGCAGTGCCTGGGGTGTTGTGAGAGTCTGTCATGTAGAAAGTTGCTTTGACTGGCACACTGGACAGGCTTTCTCTCTGGCATTGTGTTAAGCACTGGAGAGAAAAGGCCAACTTACACTTTCCCTTCTCCCTGTGGGAAAACCTGTTAAAATTCAGCGTCTTTCTACATGCTCTGCAGAGGTAGGGCAGCTCTTCACTAGCATAGCAATTTGTTGGCAATTTGCTGGCTTTCTATTCAAAGTTTGCTAATTGTAATCTAGGCCAATTGCTATTCTGGCTTCTCTTCCTGGCCTCCTCAGCCCAGTTTTATAAGCCTACCCATTTTCATAAGATCAGCTCCCGAGAGCTGCTTGGCCCCTGTGCAGGAGTGGATAGCCTTCTGCTGGGGCTGAGGGGTGGGGTGCAGCTACTGTGCTTGTCCCTGGAGGGCACGGGTGTGGCACAGCCCCTTGTATTAGAAAGCACAGTCCTGGCACTAGTGGGGACTCCTCACAGGCCAGCGAAGGCCATGCTGCTGCATCGTAGAGCAGCCACTATTCTGACTTCCTGAGTGGTGGTAATAACCCATGATTCTTAGATATTATGCTTTCATTCTTTTTTTAATAGATCTAAGGTTAGCTTTTCAAAGTGGTTAACAGTATACCCTTATTGTTTACACCTTTCATCTCTTACCCCTATCCCGTTCCACAGAGATGACATTGGGATCCTCCTGGGAGCTCTATATAGTTCAGTAGTAAATTGCTCCAGTATCGACAGCCACACCCGCCTGTTCTCTTCCAGCTGTGTTGTAGATGTTGGTGTGGCTCTGCAGGGCTGAGTCCCTGTTGTGACCTGCCAGGGAGAACATAATCCTATGACATTTCCACCTTTTGTGGTGCCTGCAGTTCTTAAGTTTTTTGCTCCATCTTCAAAACCAGATACACAGTTTTCTCTGCCTCTCTCTCTTTTGTTTTGTTTTGGTTTTTTTGGTGGTATGATTGAAGGGGTTGAACCCAGGACTTTTGCACTGAGCTATATCTCCAGCTCTTTTTTTCAAAATTTTGAGACAGGACCTTGTTAATTTGCCCAGCCTTGAATCAAACTTGTCCTTCTCCTGCCTCAGCCTCCCAGAGTGCTGGGATTACAGATGTGCACCACCACACTTGGGTTCTGACTATTCTTGTGTTTTGAAATTTTTTAGAGAATTGTACCATTCCATTTTTAACTCATTTAAGACTACTGCCCAACACACAGTCCAAAGGTAATATATAGAGTTAGGGAATTAAGAACTGGATCCAAGAGTCAGAGTGTTATCAGGTCACTTTCCCTGGCTCTTGGTCCTGCTTGCTTCTGCCAGGCCTCATATTTGGGTTTTTCCCTCCCACCCACAGTTACCAGTTCAGCAAGCCCAAGGAAGAGAGCAAGCCATTCTGTCACATCTCACTGAACACTGCAGGATTTCTGTAGCTCACCAGGAGGGGATCGCAAGCCACCCTGGTTAGGAGATTGGGGGTCCATCTACTCCAAAATACAAGGGGCTCCCTGTAGGAAAGACATGTTGTCAGAAAGGGGATTGAGCATTGGCCAGACACACCCTGGATGGTTTAAAAACATTTCTCATGATTGCATGTGTGCTTTTTTGTTTTGCTTTTACACAAATAAGTTCCTGCTATTTATATCTTTTCTTTTTCATGCCAGAGTAAGTCCTGGATATCCTTGCATGCCCTCATATTTAACTGTCTGAGTTCTTTTCCATAATCTATTGGATCTTACCATGGCTTGGGTGTGGTTTGACTGTGCCTTCCGAGGGCTCATATGGTAGGAGCTGGATCCTCAGTGTGGCAATATTGAGAGATTGTGGGACCTTCAACATGTGAGGTCTACTGGGAGGTCTCAGGTCATTGGGGTAACAGTCTCAGAAGGGGTTAATGTAGTTTTTATAGACCCTCTGTATCAGTTCTTTAGAGAGGGTTGTGAGAAAAGAACAAATTTGGAGGAGGCAAGGTGGTGCGTGCGTGTAATCCCAGCTACTTGAGAGGTTGAGGCAGAAAGATTGTGAAGTTCAATACCACTCTGCGAAACCTAGCAAGAAAGACTCTGTCTAAGAAAATAAAAAGGGGTAGGTACATAGTTCAGTAATAGATTACAGGCACAGCATATGTGAGCTGCAGGGTTCATTCCCTAGTACAGCCAGAAAAACGGGTGCAGTCTGGCTGAGTGATTTCCCTCCCACATGTGCTGCCATCCACCAGGAAGTCCTCATGAAAGCTGAGCTCACGCTGGCCCATGCCCTTGAACCTCCAGAATCGTGACCTCAATAACTCTCTTCTTCATAAAGTCACCCAGTCTTGGGCCAGGGATTTAGCTCAGTGGTTCTGCCGCCTGTCTCACAAGCTCAAGGGCCCAAGCTTGATTCCCCGGTACGAAAAAATAAATCCAACCAGTCTCAGGCATTTCATTATAGTAATAGAAAATGGGTTAACATAGATTCCTTTGGTAAGAGTTAGCAATAGTTCTTTGGGGGATAGAGGTGTCAGTATTAAACCTTAACTGATCTTCAGAGAAGAGGAGAACGTATCAAAGCTTCTTTCCACTAATATTTTACAGCAAAATAGCTGTATAAGAAAAAATATCTGCTATCAATCAGTGATTTTCTAAGAGCCTATAAAAAAGTGTTTTACCTGATCAAAACATTTGGACAGCCTCATAGAGGAGTAGGAGTCATATTTTTCAGAGTACCCATGGTGATCTCTTTCCTACTTGTCACAGTATGCACATGTGTGATGTTTATGGCGTTAGTCTATTTTCATGTGATAAATGTGGGAGGGAATTAAGGTTAAAAAAGAGTTATACTCTCCCATTAAGGATTTTTAAAGATCGCAACAGCTAAAGAATCATAATTTTGTTTTGTGGCAAGAGTTTAAAAGCAGAGGATAAAACCAGGGTAGGAACTGATCTTGGAATGAACTTAAGTCTGTTTCAGAGATACTGGATTAAAAGTCTGCTATTAGAAAGCCTCTCGGTTGTGTCTTAGGAATAAATGTAATGGGAGGGGTAGTTTTCACTCACCCAGGGAGAGAATTCAAGTGCTAAACTGGCTGACAGGACACCCTGGAATTGTCAGTCCCCCAATCTTGTCATGCTCACAGCACATCGTCACTCTCCAAACTGTACTTCAGTTCTAATAAACCTTTTTATGTTTACTCAAAAGTCTAAGTTAGATTCAGCCTCTTTCAATGTTTTTCCATCTTTCTCATTCATTTTCCAAAATGACACTTACTCTGTGAGAAGCCACATCAGAGTCGGTCTAGCTGTGTGTCCATTCCTCACGAACACACAGAAGCAAAGAAGATACTGCACACCCCTGGTTTTGGAGAGGAACTTGTTTAATAGGAGAGCCAAAGTAAATTAGTAAATTTGAAAATACATTTAAAAATCCAAGCCTAATTCTTTTGAGGGGATGAGAAAAAAGGAATAGAAAACATAAGTTTAAGGTTATTTTAAGTGAGGCTATGCTGTCAACATAAATTCTAAGATTCTCCAGTCAAATTTTAAACATATTGATCTCATCTTCCAGGAAAGACTATGAAGTGGCTTACAGGATAAAATGAATGAAAATAAAATTGATCCCAGAAAATAAGATGAAGCCCAGGGTAGAGTGAGAGCTCAAAGTTTGCCATGAGGCTGCCCATAGTAATTAATTTATGAAGCAGTGCAGTTGTCACTCAGCTTGGTAGTTGGAGTATAGAGGGAATCCATCCATTCATTCAACAGGTCATTTAGTGAGTACATATTATGCACCACACACAAGTTTAACATATGACAGATTTATAGTATCTGTAAAATAAAAAAGCTATTACTCCAGAGAGCACACCTGGAGATGTTTCCCTCATGGAATTTTAGAAAAAAGATATGGTGATATAGTGGCTGGGCTGGGGCAGCTGTAAGTTAATGCAGTGGGTTGATGCAGTGGGTTGTGCTCTTGCTTTAGGTCCCTCGTGCAGGGTGTGTTACTGTGCCACAGCATGGTGCCTCAAAGGGAAATGTGTGAGGAATGACAGATCACACCTGGTAGCATGCTGGTTACCTGGCTCCATCCGCAAGTAAAATCTAGACTCTCACGCCCAATTTCTCACCTGAGTAACCAGGCTTGGTGATTGGAGTAATACATGCTGAATCTCATTTACAGTTATCGCCTAATTAATAATGCAGTCTTTCTGGAGGTGCCCCCCCACATCTGCTTTAGAACACATGGATAAAGTCATCTCAAGAGTGGAATGAAAGGGATACAGCTGCTTTCCCTGGTGAAATGGGCGCCATGGTCACCAGCATTTGCGGCAGCAGCAGAAACAGAAGCCATGGATAGCACTTCATGAGTGACTCTAATTATTCTAACAATCATATGTTCAGGCAGATGAATTGGCAGTAGAACAAAAAAACAAACAAAAATCTACCGCAGTGGCAAGTCTAAGTATAAATGATTGCCGTGATCATTTCTACCTTAATTTGTGATAAGTGCCTCCTCTGTCCGTGGTACTCTGCTAGGGAGCTTTGAGATGCTGTAGTCAGTCATTGATTGAACATACTATTGTGGTTGTTTCATTTGAACTGGACCCTTTAACTAGAAGGGTCTCAGTTACTCAGTGAGACACATTTTGCTCTTGTGGATCCTCAGAAGTACAAACAAGGCTTTGTTTTCAATGTTCAGATAGATGTCTGAGAAGCCAATGCATTGAAGAACTTCTTAACTTTTATAGTTCTTTTTATTCCCAAACTGTCACTTTGTATGAACCGTTTTTGGTGATAGCATTGCTGTTTCCAATTACGGCTCTTAAAAGCACAGAGTAAAGAAATGGAGACCTAAACACTCTGAAATTTAGAGGGACAGTGGTTTGTCAACCCACTGATTATCCCCATGTTGTAAGTGGGACCTGGGATGCTAATTGTTCATAATTTCCATCTTCTGTCATTAAAGTTGTCGAGGCTTCCAAAAAAAAGTGTGTGTTGTTCCACATTCACATGTACTTAATAATTTTCCACCTAGTAAAAGGAGTTCATAATTCCAACCCTGTCCAGGTAACCTAGAATTCTTGTCCTATAAATTGAAGTGTTTATTGTCCCAGAGGAAGCAGGGGAGAGGTAAGCAGGTCACTTTCTACAACAGAACCTTTGACAGTGTGGAGAGGCTTCTCTGGGGAGTTCTGCAGGGTGCCCTTGTCCATGTGGTGAGAGCAGGGAAGTTTGGTTACACAGACACTCAAGTACTTACAGAGTCATCTACCAGATTCCATGTGTATCCATTACTTAGTAACTTTGTTTTGCTTAAAGCTACTTTGTTAAGCCATGAATCTTGATTGTGAGCTTGTTATCCTTTAAAGAACAGAGATTGATTTCTCTTACATTTTTTGATGGGGTGTATTTATAAGGCTATTCAGGAAGGTAAGGAGGAGAGAACATAGTCCCATTTGCTACACAGCCATACCTCACAGGGATCTGGACTAACATCAGGTATTGCAGAAGTTCATTGCTGATTGTTTCTGTTCACCATTTCAGCCCTGTTGAATACATTAATTTCTAGTATGCTGTAGGCCGACTTGCTCTCTTTCTCCTATATTCCCAGCCATCGTCCATCCTTGGCACAGCTTCTGTTCACTGAGGACCTTTGTTGCTGCATGGCCTCTGTTTATTTACTGTGCTCTGTACACCTGCCCTTTTTATGTCGTGACCTCATCTGTAGATTGTGTATCTCTCATTCAAATAAAGAAGTTCTGATCAGGTGGGTCCAGTCGGTACTATTATATCACAGTATGATGGTCAGGTGTGCTTGGTGGCCTTTGGATCAGGGGCCTGTTCCTGGTTCAGTTATCTGTATTCAGTTCTCAAGATCACCAAGTATAAGATCTGGTTTTGCTTATAAGGGGAATGTGGTTATGGCAGACAGTTAGAATGTTATTCCCATAGTAATAAATCAGAGTTGATTGGTATTCATATTAGATTCTAAGACATACGAGAACATCCTACCAGGCTAGTTCATTGCTGTATTCCAGAACTTGCCAAAGTGAGTGGTATATAGTAGTACTGGAAAATCACAGGCTGAATGAAGCCTGATGAAGGAGGAAATTATATGATCTTAAGATATATTAAAATGGGAAAGCTTAAAGAGTAATGCAAAGCCAGGTGTGGTGGTGTATGCCTGTAATTCTAGCACTCTGGGAGGCTGAGGCAAGAGGATCACAAGTTTGAGCCCAGTCCAGGCAGTTTTGCTCCTTAGTGGGCTAAACTTTTGCTGTATTGCCCAGACTAGTCTCATAATTTGTGAGTGCAGGTGATCCTCCCACCTCAGTCTTCCTTGTAGTTGGATTACAAGTGTGTCTGTCACTACACCCAATTTGAACAAATTCTTGTGTAGTAAGGGAAAAGCCACATAAGACTTCTAATCAGAGAAAACTCAAATCCAGAAGGACTCCATCCTACTTTACTTTTGCATCATGTTGGAAGACAATGAGTACAATAAATAAAGAACTTCGAATTAGTGGATTTTGTGCTTACAGTGAGAGTATTGCCCTAAGGCTACAAATTCCAGAGCTTTTCTTTTCCTTCAAGTATCACCATCCTTAATATGTCATCGAAACAGTCCATTAGAAGAGGGAATGTTCCCAGGAACATTATCAGGGTTAGGATTTGTTGAAAGGGATGCTATATATTGGCATGTTTAAACCAAGCTGAGAAGCTTTTCAGATTTTAAAAAAGAAAAGATATATCTATAGAGCTAATGTTTCTATTTTCCTCTGTCTACCAGTGTGTATACTCAGCTACCACTGTCACCAGCAAGGCTGGGTTCTTTCTCACCGCCAGCTATCTTTGACTCAACAGAACTAGAATCAGGGAAGACATGAGTTGGTGCTTTGTTATTGGATTGTTTTCTGCGGTGCTGGGGATGGAACCTAGGGCCTTGCACTATGCAAGGACTCTGCCACCAAGCTATATCTCCAGCCTTGCTTGAGTCCTGTTTTGAAGATTGAGTTAATGTTCATCATGGCTGCACATTTGTGTCTCACCATTTATTTGGTATAGTTGTTCCAGGCTCCTCACACTCCACTTTGCACATGAGGGACTCAATAAACAACTCATTTATTTGAATTATCATTGAATTAATAAGGTCATCATTTCAGGTCGTTTAACATCATGCGGTTTCTGTGTCATAAGTGTCAGCATGAAAGTGGAAAACTTAATGTTTGTCAGCTTGAATTCAGCTGAATAAAAGGGGGAAATCCTCATTAAGGAAGGATTAACATAGACTCATATCCATAACTGGAAAATATTAGGCAGTCAGTTTTTCTGTAACAGCAAAGTCAAGATAGTGTGTTGACTGAAGGTGGCCCTTAGAGGCGCACAAACCTCTCAGGTTCAACTCTGGCTTCACTACTTGTAGTATGATTGGACGAAACACTTACAAACTTTACCTAAGCTCTCCTGCTCCATCTTCCATGTGGAAAAACCCTATAGTATCTATTTGGTGGAGCGAGTAGCAGGGTTTAAATGAGAGAAGGAATCAGAAACTCTTACTACAACACCTGCCACAAAGTAAACACTAAGTAACATTAGTAAATATTGTTGTCAGGAGACTTGTTTTGAAATACATAATTCTTTTCAACAACATGGAATCAAGTCTTTTTTTTTTACAGTAACAGATTCAGTGATACAGTTTATTTTTCCCTTAACTATTATAGTATTGTATACTTACTAACATTTAGGAGAGGACAAGAATTTATATCCTTGTAATATGCAGACTGACTATAGGCAAACTCACCGGCACTGTTTTTCTATCTACAGAAAAACAACATCTTGTATACATTCAGACTTTTTTGTGGTGAGTAGTTTCTGACATTCACTGAGGCATTTCTGGGAAAATATCTTGTTGATCATACATAGAAATATCTTTCTTTTCACAGTGGAATTTCTGGCAATTTTTTTAAACATTATAAACATGGTTAATTTTTTAAAATACTGATGGACTGATATCTGAGAGACACATTCTCTGACTTTCCCTTTGTGATTATGTAGGTGAGACAGGCATTGGAAAATCCACATTAATGGACACTTTATTCAACACCAAATTTGAAAGTGATCCAGCTACTCACAATGAACCAGGTGTCCGGTTAAAAGCCAGAAGTTATGAACTCCAGGAAAGCAATGTTCGGCTGAAGCTAACTATTGTCGACACTGTGGGATTTGGAGACCAAATAAATAAAGATGACAGGTATGTCTTCAGATGTTGTAGAGATATAAATGGGTGAGGAGATAGTAGGATCTATCCTGGGTCGATTCAAATTCCAAAGGTTTCTGGTACATTCTGTTTGTGGGGCTTGGTCCTCTTAACACCCGGAAGATGCAGCATTTTTATCCTCAGAGAAATTTTTTGGGAATATTCTCTTTTGAGATCAGCATCAGACCACAGAATTGATTCTGGCTGGGATAAGCAGAAAAGGGTTTGTTAGGAGGAATAAGGTAACCTATGCCATTTCTCCAGGAACATCCGAAAGCCAGGTTTTGGGGTTTTCCCTCTAGGAAAATGAGAGATAACCATCTATGCTGCAGAATGGTGTTAACAGAAGTCTCTGCTGTTAGTTAGCTGCCTCTCACTTTATGGGACCTGTGACCCTGGAGGGCTCCTGGACCTCCACATCTGTTTCAGTCACCAAGTGTCCGCACCATTGTGTCTCCTTCCCTACGTGTGGCTCTGCCTGTATTGCTCACTCCTGCTTCTAGGCCTTGCACAGCTGCATCTGCTGGCAGAAACTGAGCCACATCCAGATACTAGCTGGAAAAAATCCCGAAGATATGTTTTTTTTTTTTTTTAGCTCTGTAGAATGAGAAGGCATAAAAAGTAAAAGGAAGGGTTGGGGATTATAGCTCAGGGGTTCCACCGCCTGACTCGTAAGCATAAGGACCCGAGTTCGATCCCTAGTACCAAAAAAAAAAGTAAAAGGAATTTGGATGAGCACCTGGCATGCCTTCCTCATCAACTGAGGCAGAATGGGATATTTGACTTAATGCCCAAACACAGAATGAGATGAAGATTGTTTCATAGGATTTTGCATAAAAAGCCAAAGCCCAGGACTAGGAGACCACACTGTGATCTGGGTTTTGCTAGGAAGAAGCTGTGAACCCTGAGAATATACTTTATTGGAGATAAATATACTGTGTTAACACTCTCAGGTGTTTTCCAGTGCTAGTATATGTGAAAAGTTGGGCTTTGAAGAGGGATGTGAATGTGAGGGGTTAGCCTATATCTTGATGTTTTTTGACAAAAGCGATTTTAGTCCTTAAAGCCTCACAGTGAATCAAGCATTTTTATGAATGATCTGCTAGAAAAATGTTCAGTGAATTTCCAGCTGGCAGAGGATCTTGACTCTGGTGGTCATGGTATGGTGTGAGGGTCTTGTGAGTCCTCTTGTGAAGTATCTGGATCTTCCCTCAGGTTGCTCAAAGGTGGGAAGCACTTTGGATACAAAACTTGCCAAACTGAGTCTTGAATAATGATTGGGGTCTCAGTCAAACATAATGAGGAATTCAAGTTAATTGGGTAGGTTAAGGTTTTCTAAGCAGAGAAGATCTGTTAAGCTAATTAGGTAATTTATACTACAAAATTCTGTGTGCATGTGAAAAGTTTAACCTACTTAAGAAATAGAATATTTTTTAGGCATATTGGTGCAGTAGTTTTGTGTAGATCAGGGTTCCTAGCTACCAGTCCATTCTTGCATATTTATTTATTAAAGCTATCGTTCTTCACATAAACTTGAAGATATAATTATAAAATAATATATCGAGCCTTTATTTTATAAAATACACTTACCCTATTTGTAAAGCCATCTAAGTTTGGATCTTCTGTATGGACTGCTGCTTGCCCTCACTTGAAGGGTGTTAATAATCCTTGAGGCCTCCTAATACAAATCCATGTATTAATCCTGCACCTAAGATTGTACTCTTATTTCTTCTCAAGAGCACCATTCCTATTCAATCTCAACCTTAAATGCCACAGTTATTTTTAAATATTACATTAATTATCAAAAGAAGTTTGGGGAAGTTAAAACTCACAGATTTGATAGTGGTTCTAGACGGAGACTTCTAAATACATTTTTGAGCAGTGACACCTTGCAGGAATATCCCATGCAGTTACCAGTAGATAAAAGTCATGGTATGTTTCTTTAAAGCTTATAAACTTAATTAATACCAAGTTTTTGGCTTTTAAACAAATTTCCCTAAAGTCAGGCATGGTGGTGCACACCTGTAATCCCAGCACTCAGAATGTTGAGGCAGGAGGATGGCTGGAAGTTTGTGGCCAGCCTGGGCTACATAGCCAAGACCCTGTCTCAAAAACACACAAATAAACAAATATAGATAGACAGGCAGACAGACTGATATCTCTCCTGAAAACTGTACATGTTATGTACCTGTTGTGTAAAGAAGAACTTGAACTATTTTTATGTAGAAATGTGATTTGTCTAGATACATTTTAACTATCAGTATATAAGCACAACAGTACTGACAGAAATATTTAATGCATTCTTTGGCCTCTGAGCTCTTTTTGTATCTCTAGAGCACTTTAAAGGCTAGCAGGCGCTCTTCTAGCCTCAATACCAAGGAATGACAGAGGTTTCTGGCTGAAGGCCGCTTATAATGCCAAGTGAAATAAATGAAAATCAAGCGTTTTTTACCACAAAAGGGTGCAGGAGCATTGTGGGTGGGGTGGACAGAGCATCTGAGCATTGCACAGTCATAGAACCCATGTGGGGCAAGTCCTCGTCTCCAGTTCTCAGCCTAGACAGATTCTTCCTGGGGTTAGAAAATCTCCTGTTTGTGCATTGCCTGATTGGGCCTTGTCTTAGTGATTTTTCTTCTTGCTAAGACAGAATATTTGATGCCCAAAGTAAAAGGAAAGTTTAAATTCACAGTTTGTAGCGGTTTCAGTTCATAGTTGGCTGGCCCTAAGGCAAAGGTGGCATTGAAGAGGAGAAACAGTTTGTGACAGGCAGAAGGCAACAAGCTACAAGTGATAAGCAGTGACCCTCTTTCAGTCCCTTGTATCTCTCCAGGTAAGCTGCCCCTTAGGATGGGTAGCACTCACACCCAGGGTGGGGCACCCTTAATCCTACCCAGAGCTATGCTAAACCAATCAGTGGATTAATTAGTAACCACACACCCTTGATCCTGGCATCACACACTCCAGATGCAGGCACCTCCAAAAAGCCCTATCTATGACTCTGTGAGGCTTTGGAGGGACATCCAGCCCCTCAGGACAAGCCTTTTCAGGATTCCCAAGGAATAAAGGCGTCTTATTGCTAAGATTACATCTGCCCACTGGGCATGGTGTCATATGCCTATAACTACTGATACAGAAGGATTATAATTTCAAGGCCAGCTGGGCCACTTGGTAAGATTCTGTCTCAAAATGGGCTGGAGTGTACCTTTTTACAGAGGCAGAGTACAGGGCTAGCACTGGCTAGGCCCTCAGTTCGATCTTTAGCACTGACAAAAATTTTTTTAAAAAGAAAGGAAGAGATGACTCTGTCTCACAGTCTAGCACTGCCACGAAATTTTATGTTTTGCCTTTCCCCCAAAAGGGAACTATCCCTCATGCTAAGGGGTTTCACTCAGCAGCACTAATAACTAAGTTAGTACAGTGCAGATCCTTGTATTTGCAGCTGGAGTCTTCTTTAAGAAATTATCTGACTCATTTTGGGTCGAATAATAGTTTCCAAGGAGATCTAGAAGAGAGGAAGTGTGATGTTAACCTAACCTAGATACCACATATTTTTTCTTCTGAAATTTCTTGACAGCTGTTGCATAATCTCCTTGAATGACATTTGAAATTCTTCGGTACCCTTTGCCTCAAAAGGCATTATTGACATGACTACAAACCCAAATGACTTGTTTAAAAATAGTTACTTGGATGGGCTTTTTGTCCATCAAAGAATTGGAAGTGGGATGTGCATTTTTGCGGTGGTATGTGACCCTGTGGAAAAGGATGTGCTCTTTCTCTAACCCATGATTATTTTTCTTACTTTGGGAAGTAGGCAAGCTTTTTTGCCATACACGTAAGACTTTAAGAACGTCCCAGTTTGTTTATGTAGGCCTCAGACATGTCAGCATTCCTGCGTCATCATCCACCTCTGGCCAGGCTAGCTAGAAGGACATAGGAAGGCATATCTGGTAATGTTTCCTGTTACATGTAACTCCTTTCTTTGTTCAAGGGCTTCCTTGCTTTGGCTGCCCTCTTCGGGAAAGAAGGAAAAGGGTCCAAATAAGAAGGGAAATGAAGCTGTGCTTTCCAGCTGAAGTGGAATTGGTACCACCCCTCTTTGGGAGATGGGAGATGGGCTGTCCATGGCACATCAAGGGCTGTAAGGATAATCCATCCGGAAGAGCATGGGTGATCAGAATCCACTGAGAGAGAAAATCTTCAAACACACCGTATTTACAAGAATCATACAATAGTAGTGAAGCAAACTTTTTACCCTTAAAATTTTTATGTTGCCCTTTGTAGCAGAGTTAGTCCAGGGGTAAGGAGAATTGACTAAGAGATAGCGAGATCAGAGGAAGACATGGCAATGGTTTGGTTGTATGTAAAATGAAGATTCGGTCCTTGAATGAAGACGTTGGTCATTTTGCAAGAATGATCAGTAGTTAGGATGGATGGACCAAAAAGAGGTAACTTTTCTAGCAGTTTTAGGGTCTACTTGTATGATTTTATTGCAATTTTTTGTGTATGGAGTTACATGAATAACAATGAGCTAGTAACAAAAGCTACTGCCATGTCTTAACAGGAAATTATATGAAAGTGGAAAGGCTTGTTTGGTCCTGTGTGCCCCCCACCCCCACTCAATTGGCCACACAGAATATAAATAGGTATCCTCTTTTTTTTTTTTTTTTTTTGG